CACAAATCACTGCACTTGACAACACGGATTTATAATGGATGGCTGAATCCTGGATTCAAGTACATATCTCAGTGGTTCTGGCCCAGTTTTCTGGCCCATGAACCACCTGGCCAACTTTAAAATGTATTCTTACACTCGTGATACGTACAAACATCAAACCACATGGATATCAGTCACTATTAATAATGATTACTGGTTTATCGATTATCGTTAATAAGCCTAGTTTCCTTACTTTATTGGTGAACTGGCTGATACCATCAACTCACTACACTTTGGAACCTGGTTTAATCATAGGTGGCTAAAACCCAGATTAGAGGCCAGAATCTAGGTGGTGCTGACTCAACTCTCTGGCCGCTTACTCACCCGGTCACTTCGAAAAAATTACACTTTTTTATACTTTGTTGAATTCTTGTGTACCGCATCATCAAACCGAAAGTGACGGAGCTAGAGATTATTTTTTTAAAAAGCAAGCAGATTATTTGGTGTGTAAAAAAAATAATGCGTAGCTGAGTGGATCTGGGCAGGACACTTATAAAACCAATCCTAACTCGGGTAGTAGGCTCACAACTCTGCTCGTTGTGTTGATTCCAGACTTAATGGGATATTGTGGCAGAAGTCAAAACTTAATGAGGTTGCACACACACAGGCGCGATGGTAAGCGCTGGTTGGAAAGAGGGGGCGCTGAGGATGGTAGTGGTGGGGGTGTACTTGGAAAGATATGGACAGGCTCCGCTAATGATAGGGATATCATCGCTATAATTACTGAGCGTGACAAGAGCGAGTATTGCTGACAACGCGCAGCGAGAAGGAAAGACGTAATGTGGCAGCCTGGTGCGTGGGTGGGTGGATAGCCTGGTATTTTACGGATTGGTGGGTGGGTGGGTAGACCAGTGGGTGGGTCAGTGTATGGGTGGGCCGGTGGTATTTGGTGGCAGCACCAATGAGGCAGGCAGTGAAAATGCCGGGGTTGTGAGGAAGGGTGATGTGCCAGGGCACGAGGTCACCTGGCAATGCGTGCCACGTGCTGAACAAACAACAGCTGCTGCCAGCATCATATGATGAGTGTCATAGTCCCGCCAAAAATACAACCTAATATTAATGTTATTTTAAATGTTTTTAGCTGGCCGCTCAAATAACATCAGCACCATTCCCCCACCCAGAACGAACTCCCCCGTTCCCTTCTGTCAAGCTAATTTAAGCAGATAGATGCTTTAAATTATTATAATACAGAATGAGGAGTGGAAGATGGCAGCCTTCACGTGGCCTATTCTGTTAAATGAGAAATCACAAAACTCACAACTAAGCCATAAACCCAGCAACCGAATATCGATTGAGGGACATTCCTGGGTGAAGTGCAAGTATCTCGCAAACATTTTGAAGAGGCGTAACATTGACGTTTTCACGCTCCAAGAAACCCACATCTCCAATGGCCAATACAATAAATGACCAATAAAATAAAGAATACACTTCAAAATCATCATGTTAACATTTAAAGCAATACACAACCAAGCTCCGCCTTAAACAATAAACCTCATACGGATCAGGCAAATCAACAAATCACTTCGCTCCTCAACCCAAATACTCCTCCAATCACCAAAAACCAAACACAAAACTATGGGAACATCTTTATCATGTGCAGCACCACACCCCTAGAACCTCCCCGAAACAATCAGCACACTCGACTCCATCACTGTATTCATGACACAACTCAAACACACACCTTTTTGCACTTGCATACAACAACTCACAGCCACAACTTGCTTTAGTAAGTATATATTTTTTTCTCATTGGACAGACATTTCTACTTTTATGTTTCAGTATTAATGTGATGACGCCTCGAGTGGCAGATTTTTTTTCTCCACAAAAGCACCACATGTGTAAGCAAAAATAAACTTGACTTGACCAAGAGGCCAGTTGCTTCCTCATCCATGGCTACAACCTCACGACTCGCCACTACCACCCAAAATATGGTCTGAAAATTATTCCCCGATTTCCCAAAGGCCATCATCACCTATATCGGCATTGAAATCCCCATGATTATCTCACAATGAGTCCCATTGTGAACCTACTCCAAACATACATAACCAAAGTCAGCTGGGATTGCTACATGAAAGCCATCGAAAATGTGTTGATCCGAATCCCCATGACAGCGGGATGTTATCACCGGTTCATTGGGCTTCCTTACTGCCACTAAGAAAAAGAGTAATCCACTCACTCCTTGTAAGGATTAATCCCTGCCTCAAAACATTACGCTTGCAATAGGCGGCTACATGTCCATTTGGATGCCAGAGTCACCTTGCCCCAATTCCTCAATAACGGAGCTGCCGCAAGGTTCAACGATCGCGACGATGTTCTTAAATATTTACACGAACGATTTGCTGCCAACAATACCAGGCAATTTGCATATGCAGATAACCTTGCCCTGGTAACGCAAGCAGCCACCTTCAATAACATCGAGTCCACCTTCAAGGGTGACCTAAACTCCACGCAGGAATATTTATATAAATGGAGGCTCGAGCCAAACCCCAACAAAACAAAGGGCACTGCATTTGATCTAAAAAAAACCAGGAACATTAAGCACACCCTGAAAGTGTCATTTTGTGCCAACACTCTGCAACATGACCTAACTCTGACCTATCTCGGAGTGAACCTGGACCAGACATGAACCTTCCGTGACCACCTGAAGAAGGTAGCCGTAAAGATTAAGACAAGGGTTAACCTGGTCCAGAAACTGACAAGGACAAGCTGGATAGCATCAGCAATGGTGCTATGGACATCAGCGATGGCCATTGTGTACTCTGTAGCTGAGTGCTGTGCAGCACCAATACGGATCAGAAGTAGCCACACTCGACGTGTTAAAGTTCTTAACTGAACGCTGCAATGGATTGGTGAATCACAGGAACCCTCAAGTCGACCCCAACACCCTGGCTTCCCGTGTTGCCGCACATCGCTCCCCCATCTATTCGCCGCAACCCTACAACCCTCCAGAAAACATACACCTCCCCATCCATGCACTTCATCTTCAATCATCCAACTTTTGGCCCATGTGCCATTTGGCCCATGTGCTTAATCTACGACCATCCAGCTTTAATCCCGAAATGCTTGGAGAGCCAAATAGAGTTCACAAAAAATCACAAACACCTCGTGAATAACCTGACCTAGAATATCTATGGCTTCGAACTTCCACGAAGCTTATGGTTAACCATAAACCTCATCCGCAAAAAAACATGGGAGATGCGGATATTTGATGCGCCAATTGGAAAATTTAAAATACTTAAACGTGTCATTGTGGTCACCCAGTAAAGATAATGGAACATAAATAATGACTCAATGCCTGATTCACAAATATTAAGGAGGCATCACAATAATACACTCTGCTACTGCTGATGTCATTATCTGGCTCAACTACCTTCATGTAAAATGATAGTTGTTGCTCCACATCCACATCAGCCATATGAAGGAGAATACAGAAAGAAACCAATTTTGATTTTGGCAAAGAAGTAGATGTGGTTATGGGTGGGATATGTGTGCAGGGTGGAGGAGGGCATTAACGTGGCGCCCAGAGGGCGGCTACCGAGGGGAAGATGTAAAAGCAGATGGTGGTGGCACTGCAAGAAGGTCAGGGTCAGGTGTTAACCACTCAACAGTTGTGATAATCTAGAACAGAAGGGAAGCGATGACAGGTCGCCGTGGCATTTGTAGGGTGACAATGACCTCTTCACAATATTTTGATCTTCACAATAAAATGAACACCTCCTGAAAATAATTACAATTCCTAGAAATGCGGCTCCAATCGCCCGCTTCTGTCGACTACTCAGGCGGTGGCTGCACCTCGTTAATTGTGGTCGGGAGTGCATTATTTATTGCACGTCTTTATTCCTGAGTGACCTTGACGGTGAAGGGAAAACAGAGCGCGCCGATGACAGATGGCCATCGCGGCTGCTTGCCACGTGTTAACCATACATGCGCTGTTTCTCTAGACTAAAACGTGTGGTTGGAGAAGCCCTGAAATTACCAGCGGTGCATGAGGACACCTGATGGGGTGACCCTCTCGCTCGTTTCTTAGGGGGGCTTGACATGCTTAAGAGAAAACAAAAACTGTTGGCTTAGAGATCCGATAAACAATGCCTATTTTGCAGCACACTGAAGAAGACCGCTTGTGTTGCTAGCGAAACGTCGTGGGTTTTTTGCTCTATTATTTGAATTTTTTTCTTATTTTATAACATTTTATTATGTTATTTTTATTTTATTTTCTATCTACGTGACTTTACCGAAAGAACCAAGAATATGGTAAATAAGGTTTTTTTCTTCTTAAAATATTTCATCTGGAAAATCGCTTCATATGCAAACATTTCATTTGCAAGACTGTCCAGTGTCAACGGGAAAATAAATAGCAAACACATGACACGTATACACACACCTATACAAAGACCCCCCCGGAAAGCCTTAAGACTGTTGGGACAAGTCCTGTTCGCGAACAACTATGAAGCCCGGGATGGCACACGAGGAGGCGAGTGGCGAGAATGACGCCTCGCCGCCTTTGTCTCCATAGTGGAATTTGTTTACACAGCGCACCAGGCTCTCACTTGAAGGTAGGATTGGGGTGGACCTAGGTGAACCCACGACCGGTTCAGGTTTGTGTCGCTGATGTTGGCTGTGAGTGGGAATCACACTCAGGTCTCTGGATTCGTGGCCCAGTACGCTCACCACTTGCACTGCATAACATCACTGTATAATTCATAATAAAGGTTCTTGGGTTAGATCGCGTTTATTTATAACCCAAGAACCTTTATTATGAATAATATTGGTCGCGAAAGCCTACGTGTTAAACTGATCACTGTATAATATTTAAAACGTATTAAAACACGATATAACATTACTGTATAATATTTAAAACGTATTAAACACGATATAACATTACTGCACAATTTTTTAAAATGTATTATGAATTACGTAACACTATTGCACGGCATTTGTAATGTAAAGGAAACAGTCCTCACCCTCATGGCATGCCACCGGGACCTGTGATCTCGTGGGAGGTGCTGCAAAATGGTGGCAAAGCGCACCGTTGATGACGAGTTGGAGCAGCGTGCTCAATGAATTTATTACAGGCAAATAAATATATAAGTGCATGCATTTACGGAGCATGCATGGAAAGTTAATATAAAAAAGTGTTTTTTTAATGGTATTACTCAATTATGGAGAGAATGTTTTACCTTTGAAGTCTCCTTCACAAACCTGGCAAATGACTCATTGTTTTTTTCGGTAAAGTCACGTATGTAGAAATACAATAAAATCATATTAAAATAAATCACGACGTTTCGACCGCAACACAAGCGATCTTCATCAGGTGTAAAAAACAAATAGCGAGGGAGCACATAGGGTGACATCAACGCAACACATAGAGAGCGTTAAACTGCACGGAGGTAAATACAACAAGAAGATGAGAGACGACAATTCAACAAACCTAAGAAAAAATTACGTGATGCAAAACCAGTCGGCCAACAACACAGTTAGACACTTGCCTGGCGGACCACGTGTCTAACTGTGTTGTTGGCCGACTGGTTTTGCAAAACGTAATTTTTTCTTCGGTTTGTTGAATTCTCGTCTCTCATCTTCTTGTTGTATTTACCTCCGTGCAGTTTAACGCTTTCTATGTGTTGCATTGATGTCACCCTATGTGCTCCCTCGCTATTTGTTTTTTATACCTGATGAAGATCGCTTGTGTTGCGGTCGAAACGTCGTGATTCATTTTAATATAATTTTATTGTATTTCTACATACGTGACTTTACTGAAAAAAAACAATGAGTAATTTATGCAGTCACGAAAGCTTTAATTCTTTATCTGGCAAATGTCGTTGATAACTTTCATGTTTTTGTGCAAACATTTAAATTTTCAATGACACAAATAATAATTTTTCGAGTTCTGTGATAAAAACTACTTAACCAAAAATCTTGTTAATTTGGTGATGCAACTCCTATCCGGAGAGACAACAAACCTGCGAAATAAAAAAAACAGACTTCTTCACCATCAATTTGTGCAGTCCCTTTCCTGCTCTTATCCATTTGTCGACTTTCTCTTTCATGCTGACAGACGCACCCCCCCCCGCCTCCGTTTTGCTTAAAGTGCCGATAATTACAGCACCCATAATTATAGCTGAGCGGCACGTGCAATTATAATACGTGACAACCATTACTAGTTGGCTGTGTCGGGTGGTGGCGGGTTTTAACGACACATTTATATATTTACGCGATCTAACCCAAAAATCCCCCTCTATTACGAATACGTAAATCATTAATTTACTGGACATCTGTGAACTACTGGACATCTGTGAAAACGAGCTTGATAGCTCATCGGATTTCTCCAGTATAAATAAATATTCTGTTTCGGTTCACACAGCCAATTGTAACGAGTTGCAATGTTGTGCAATCATGGTTCAATTAAATAAGTCGCGACTGGTGACGTGAGAGCACGTTGAAGCGCCTCTGTGTCTGAATGATAGTGCCCATTTGGGTTTTTACTTTTCAGGTCAATGCCATCGATAAGTTCCAGTCAATGACGCTTGCAACGACAACAAACATACTTTCTTGTAAACATTCATAATAATATGCGAGTTTGGCAATGATTGCTTGGTATACCCCCAAAACCCACAGGTCTTAAGTTTGATTCTGGTTGATGTGTTAATATAAGCAACAAATGTGTAGTGCTGTGTATTAGACGGGGAGGGTATGTTGGTCTAGGTTAGCAGCGGAAGATGAAAGCAATGAAAATGTATTCGAAAAAAAAAATTCGGGGAAGATATAATGTTACTGTTAAGAAAAGTAAGTGGGCTTGGGCAGGACTTCTGTCTAGAAGCAGACGACGGCGAGTGGTCGAGAGTCGTGACAGAGTGGAAGCCAGCGGAAGGAACACACACGAGAGGATATCCGCTCTCGGGGTGGAGCTTTGAAATCAGCTAATGTGCAGCTCTGTGGATTGCTCCATCACGTGACTGTTATGGATGGCAACAGCTTGAGGATGCTCCGTCCAGTAGTGCACTTTGTTTAAGCCAGGTCAGTCAGCGAGAGTCCACCTCGTTGTTTAGTACCCTCGCTGGAGGTCACCGGGCAATTGCGGGATTGCTTTGTCACCCCCTTTACATTTTCAAATCGAAATTGATCCAACCCTTAATTTGGTATGATTGCCAACTTGCTGTTTGCCTACCAGCAAATCACCCCGACTGTGCCCAATCACATCCAAGGCAGATTAGTACTTGGATGGGTGTCGACCGGGGCTTGTGTGACCAGGCGATGGCAGTGTTCAACGTGATGTTTTTTTTGCAGGTTCTGTCTAATACTTTTTCACCATCAATACCTGCAGTTTCCCTCCTGCCTTAATTCCTTTGTGTTGACTTTCAGCAACTGTCTGTGCAAAAAAAGATTGTCAAAGTAATTCCTTGTTCAAATTAGCATTGCGGCAGTGCTCATTTCCTGTTTACAGCCCTACGCCAGTGGTGTAAATTCCTAGTTCCTATGACGGAGAGTGAATCTATATGACAACCGCCGTCGTCTTCTTAACAGAGTTGCACTCATTTTATCGACTCCGGAGGACTGATGGGTTGAATCAACAAATCTAACCAGGATTTGAACATCTACCTTCCGCTGAGCTGCCTGGGCAGTTATTTGTCAATGAGAGATGAGCCGCTCCCCCCCGCCCTTGACATGTCGGCCCATCCCAAGCCTAGCCACTTCTGTCAGTGTCCCTGCAGGAGATCCAGCTACCCGAGCGAACTCCAGGCAGTCGTGTAAAACGAACCGGTGGAACGACAAGCCTCTCCCGGGTGCGTTGCATGGCACAGTCATGGCGGAGGGAGAGTGTGCAGCTTCACGTTACAACACTGGGATCATTACTGGGCGGGGAAGTGGGATGGGGGTTGGCAGTGGGGTATTGGGGTGGTCACGTTGGTGTGTTCAAATCGGGTCATGGCCTACTCGACCTTCTGTCTATCCAGCGAATGAACGTGGGTTTTAACCAAGCGGTCGAGCCACACAGGGTTGAAATTCGAGAGTCGGAGAAGTTGACGTGCTTAGAGTCGCCGCTAACAATAGCCTTGTCGAGCCGGTATCTGGATGGCGAAACAGATACGAGCGTTGCGGAAAAGTGTGCAATGGTTATCTCTCAGCTTCCACGCGCGTGCAATTCGAACCGCTCTCTTCTCATGCCAGGCCGTTTTTTTATGATAATTATTAGTTTAATAAGGCTTTTTATTTCTATGAGCAACGTTTTGCCGGGGGGATTTACCACCCACGTGTGCAACCGAAATCCGCTTAGCAGACCTCAAGAGATGTAATGCCGCCTCCCCGTTGAAAACCAGACATGGCTATGGGTAAAAGCACGAGACCTTTGTACACGTCCACCCTCCGAATGAGGAAACGGACACGTAGGCACACCTTATCCTGCCAGGGGGAAGTAGCAGCTTAGGCAGCGTCAGTGGGGCCATAAAGTGGGGATTCACTAATTATGAATCAGGGTGTACTGCCCGCTATGACATGTGGATAACAAACATTGGAAGGTGCAAGTTCAGCCACTGCCTCAATGCTCGTTTAAACAAAAAATAACTTAAAAATAATATATTCACCCAGCGTCCAAGCTGCCCACCTTGCAGTCATTATTGATGATTTAATAATTTTGCTATGACCAGTAAAGCATTGCGGGTGGCTGCTCTAAGTTACCAATTGGCTGATGGCTGTACCAGAACGATCCAGATTGGTCAGGCTAAAAAGTATATTGGACCAGCGAGCATTGGATTGGCTGTCGCCTGATGATGCTAGTGGCAATTACCAACACACTGGTGTGCTGTACTAGTGTAGACGAGTGAAATATATGGTGCGCACAGTTAGCCAAGGGCAACTGTGGGCAAATGGGTGCACGCGTGCAAACGTTAGGTTTGCATGGACAAACCGCCAGTTGTTAAGGGGCACAGCAGGTGCAAACGGGATCGACCGGTTGTGCACGTCAAAGGCTGGAGGTGTTGCCAGGGAGATGGGAGATAAGGGTTGATTAATGGGCGAACAGGCGCCAGCTTGGCTGGGCTTAAAGAGACACACGAGAGCTCTCGGATAATTGGCAGGAGGATATAAGGGCATGTGTGTGAGCGGAGCGAGAGAGTTGTTGCTGGGGACAAGAGTGAAGACAACTCGCCGCTGCTGCTCCAGGGGTCAACGGGACCTCAACCCTCATGCGTTGCCGGGCGGGTGATGGCTGATCCCTCCGCGTGGGACAGATGGGTGAACGAGTTTGAGGAAGCATAGGTGAGGGCAGCGGTGGAGTTATAGAAGCTCCTGTGTGCGAAGACGCTGTGTGCGAAGATGCTGTGTGCGAAGACGCTGTGTGCGGAATCGATGTGTGCGAAGACACTCTTTGCGAAGACACTGTATTGAAGACGATGTGTGAGGAGTCGCTGTGTGCGAAGACGCTGTGTGCGAAGATGCTGTGTGCGGAGTCGCTGAGAGCAGAGCTGCCGAGGGCAGGATAAGTGAGGTGTAACGTAGATACGAGTGGGAAGAAGTTAGATCTAAGTGACCGTACAGATAGCTCTAGGAGTGCCTACAACTGGTGCCAGAATAGGTAAATAAAGTGTAAGCAGGTGACTTGTTACAACGTGTCAGTCTGAGTCATTTTTTAAGACACTACATTTGGTGTTAGAAGTGCCAACGGACCTTCGCCGTCATGTCCAAGTTGGCGATGAAATTAAAAAAACCAGCTCCTTTGTCGTCTGACGACGACACTGAGCAAGATGTCGTCCCTCCAACAGCTCTGGTTGCCAAGCTCCGAGCGCCCGCTCCGACGGCGTGCTGCATTTGGTGCAGGAGTACATGGCGAGTCCAGCCAAGCCACCTCCTCCATAGAGCTGGCTGGACATCGCCAGTCACCTGGGGAGGTTGCTGTCGACCGCCGCTCATTTCTACGAGTGGATGACAGAGGCGACTGGAGCGCTGGACCTTCCCGCCATTTTGGAATCTGCAGCCATGCTCCACTTGTCCGCCATTTCGGGCGATTGGTCCGCGCCGCAACAGGAGCCACCGACTTCCAAGGTGGAAGTCGTTCTTAGGCCCCGATGGCTGCCACCAGTGCATCAGTTCACTGCTTGCAGGGGGAGATTGGACAGCTTTTCGTTGTTGATTCGAGGCCGCCTACATCTCGGTGGGATGGATATCCCAGGAGGCGCTTCAAGCTCTTCCCACGGTCCTTGATGACGACTCATTAGCCGCCTTTTTCGCCATCCCCGCGTTAGATAGAGCAACCCTCGCGCATGCCTACACCGAGATAGCCGCTATTT